GTGGCTCGACTAAAACTCGATTATCAAAAGCATTTCACTTTTGCAGATTTGTGCTGTGACATCATACGTGCGTTTAATGCAAAGAGCGACGCCACCAGGTTGAGAGCGAATTAATGAAATAGTTATCCTGCGAGTTATTCTCTGATATGATGTTTCAGGGACGAAATAAGCAAAATAACAACTGTAGAATCTAAGATGTAACGTATTTAAGAAGCTCTTTTACATGTTTTTCTATTCCGTTCAAACAATATAACGTTTCAATTTCTTCAAAGTTAATACAAGTACTATAGTACAAAAATCTTTTGCAAAATTTTACGAAATGGGATCTCTGCTTGTAGAAAATCGTAACATTTGGCGACTAGCTCGATTGGGTTTGGACGATCGCGCGCTCCATAATGGGCACAATTGTTTGTTTTAAATATTGATGTCATGTAAATTAAAAGAAAATCTTTGACGAGTAAATTAGAAACATCGCGCTGGTGCGACTTAACTCACAAATTATGTGTAACTTGATTGAGAACCCTGTCAGAAATAGGAATAAAAACATAAAAGAGACGTCAAAAGGGCTTGAGAAATTTTAATTTTCTGCCATTTATATGTATAGGTTGTTAGAAAATTAATGCGCTCTTTTTATGTTTTTATTAAACCCAATACAACTATTTCAGTTTGGTACAACTGCTACCAATTTTGCAAACCATGATCATGCAAAATCTTGAAGAAAAGATGCAGTTTTGCATATCTTAGCTTAGTAAATCAAAATTTTGGAAAAGAAGGTGTTGAACCAATTCTTGGTATAAGTCTTATTTCTATATCATATTTTGCAGAAAATCCATGAGATGTAACGAACTTAAGGGTTGGCAGATGCATCTCTCAAAACCTTTGCACTAAATCTTTGAGCATTTACTACATCATCCTTTGCAATTGGTTACTGTACATGTCATTGTTAAATCAATCCCCATTATCAAAGATATGGCTCTCAGCTGTGGAAATTTTCAAACCACCTATACAGTGCATTAAGCGTTTCAAGTATCCATATAACATTGAGTTTTTTTCGTTGCTCTCCGGCTCATCCTGATATGAATCTTAAAAAATTGTGGATTTTGTCTCTATTTCATGCGCAATTCGATATTTTTGAAACGTGTTAAAAATTAAATCAACAAAAAGCAGTATATTACTTGAATTTGGCTTTCCAGGATAGGCAAAACTGTGAACTTTGAGACCATATAATGCTGCTTTTCCATAAATACAGTGAGATGACGTAAAAAAGTGTTAAAAGAGTCATGACACTTTTTTTCAAAGCTATTTTTCATGGGGATCGTTGCGCGGAAGTATGATCACATAGTGTAGTTCTCCATCTGGTATTGCCACATATCATCAAACGTCCAAAATCCTGCCTTGTTCGCATAAAACCTGCCTCCTTGTGACCCGATTAGGGTAAGTTGGCGAATCGAAACCGTGAGCAATAAAAGTGAGTCTCCGAGCATTTGGTATTACTAGTGAGCTGTGTGTAAACGATATTGTAAAGAATAAGTTATTCACCACAAAAAGCTCTACAGGATGCAAAATAACTGCGTGTTAAAGCGCAGCTATTGTAAAAGTTCATCGGTCTTTGCTCTATTCAATTTTTTTTGCTGAGCACCGATAGAACGTCCCGAAGGAGCATTAGGAGACTTCCTGATTAGATCCTGATTAAACCTGCTCAAGCATTGTGAAGAAGTTTTGATCAACGTGCTGGTCTTGCATTGTGGCTTGCTCCACTAACTTAGTGCATATTATGGGGAAAAATTTTGGAGGGTTTCCCCATCTGCATGCTGACATGATGAAAGTTCGGAAAAGCGTTCACCATGTGATATTACTGCAAAAAACACTCCGGACAGAAGCTTGCCAAATAATAACAAGAAACTTTCTGTATCAGGGGCGTTTTCTTAAT